TCCTTTCGAGACTATCCCAGAAACATGTCAATGAGCGGTGGACTAATCCTGTCTTGGTCACCCAGCATTACATTTTACCACTTAGAAGGGGCCTAACCGCTCCTCTGCTACCGAGCAGTGGCGGACATCGAGCCCTGAGGTCCGCCCCCGTTGGCGTCTCTCCCCTGCAAGAGTCCTCTTTCCGCATTGTCCTCTTCCCCATCATTCTAACGTCACACTAGCCACTCACACACCGCCTGTGTCGGTCCTCATTTCCCGCCCACCCTGGCCACCAGTTCGGCCACCACACCGCAGCAACCACTCGAGGCCGCTGTCGCGTGCGCACGGCCAATAACCCAGCGCCCGGGAGTCAAGTTGGCCCGTCCAGGGGCCGCCGCCTCCTCCACCCAGCCAGGTGAGCGCTCTGTGACGGGCCAACTTGGCCAATATCGGCCCGGCTGACGGCGCGAGATTAAGATGAGGCCGGCGGCCGAGTGGCGAGGCGGTCCGCCCCGGCGCGGCGCCGCACCGGTGACCCCCCTGACCTGACCGGTACGAATCAATACGGGCCCGGCAACAGATTCCGCCGGCTCCGCGAACTGGGCTGCCACCGGGCTCTGGGGAGGGGCGGCGGCGATATGCATCAGGGTAAACGGATGACGTAAGGTAAGATCGCTCGACCATGGCGCAATAGGTAACGGAAGGACAGATATGCTATCGGTCTTGGTTCATGAGAAACAGCTACACACAACCTACTCAGATCCACCGACTTCTTTGAACTTACAATGGGTATTCAATCATATGGACAACTGAAGTCACCCATTTGCCAACAGGCCACTTGTGATACCAAGCCATGCGTCAATACTGTACTTTAGCACTTCCGCCGGCTCTGAGTAGAGTGGATAGGAATTTAGACCTAGCATCGGCCACTTTTATAACGCAGTCGATTCAGTAAACACCTTCCTTAAAACAATCGCTGCAACCCCATCATCGCCACAATATTTTCTTTTTTCAAACAAACAAGTTTTTGAAGTGGAAGTTACGGTCCAGTCACAGCATTCGTGGAAACTTTTCTCATTAAACAAATTCTACAGCATTTCACATTTCGTTTCTCAGCAGCCGTGTGAGGATATGAACCACCGCCAGCAATCTACAATCTCCCACAAACACTGAGGTGCGGCTACACTATCAACAGCCACACAACATCAAAAGGAACACCTCCGTAATAAACGACATTCCACCAGAGAAGAGACTGTCGAGTCCGACATCCCGCCAGCGCGCAGACAGCACTGTCGAGCCCCACGGACCAGCACACCGTACTGTCGAGTCCGACATCCCGCCGGGACCCAGACAGCACCGTCTAGCCCGCCGCCACGCCGCCGCCGCCGATTACCATATAGATGAGTGCACCGTGTCGTCTGGTGTCAGCCAGCCCCAAGTTCGAGAGCCCAACGAGTGCCCGAACATTCATTACAGGACTCCGGACAAGTGTGGGGAGTCGGTTTGTTCTTTCGAAGTTTACAGGATATGAAGTCGACTCTTATTAAATAGAAGTTGTTAGAGCTTCATGGCTTGTCACTTATCAATGCTTCAATGCTTCTGCTGCTATGCTAATACTACGGACTGCCCTGTCGCGGGCACAATGTCATAGTCTGTCATCGGCACTGAGTGTGTCCTCTGGATGGGGTATAGCAGTAGGACCAGCCACGCTGCAGCTTCTGGTACGCTCAGAAAACAAGCCGTTATGACATACGAGGCGGCAATACGACCATCATACGGTTTGCCAGGCAAACGTCAGGAGGGAGCCTGGCAGGAAGATAGAGAAGAAATGTCAGTCGCTGATGTTATCGGCACAGGCCGTTATCCATTCGGCAAGCACACGGTATCAGGTGGTGAAACCCCATTTTCAAGGCATGTCAGAAGGTATGCGAGTAGTTCATGCTATCTGAGGAAGCCCCTCATATCACACACCAGCTGTCGAATGGCGAGCCACTGTGTCGCCAGCCGTCTAAATCGGTTCACCTCACGAGGCGGCCTCACTCGATGGCAGTCTTCTTGACAGAATGCTCAATTGCTCAGTCCCACACACACCCAAGCGCGCTCAGGTGCTATAACCATCACCTATCATTAATGATTAAACCAGCCGTGACTAGGAGCGCCTAAGACGGACGAGCATCCCTCCCGACCATGCCGGTCAGTGGACAGACCCGTCAGCGGGGTGTTCGCTAAAAATATCCCAGCGACAGCCCGACCCGATCGGCTCTTGGTTCATATTTTAGCGCCGTGGTTCCCTCACAAGGTTCCCAACACCCCTAACCTGTAGGGGTCAGCGGTTCACCCGGTCACCAAGGCCGCTGTTGGTTGGCGACCACTCAGCGACAGTCGCCTGTTAGCCGGGCGACATGATAAACTGCCGGTGGACAGTGGACAGCTAACGACAGCAGCAGCCGGGGGTTCCACAGTTCCCGATAGCTCGGACCGTGCTGACAGCAGAAGCCACCGAGCGTGATAGGGCAGCAGCGCGGCTCCATATATTGGATGAAGTTCACCGCTGCCTGCAACCTCCCCTCCCAGTGATCAATGCTGTGACAAATGACTAGGTCACGACCGGTATGACCACGACTGACGGCAGGAAGGCATAACTGCCGGCACGGCGGCCACACATCATCCTCCGGACGTGTCAGCGCCAGAAGCGAACACGGTCTACTGCGGCGGCCCGCGGTTGGTATTACATGTCTACATCACGGAGGCAAATTAGCTCCGCCCGGGCACATGTCAGTGGAAGTGACATTGGCTCATCGTAACCAGAATAGACACACACGCCGCTCGAAATGCACGCGTCCCAATATAACCACGGCAAACACGGATCAGCGAAGCCTTGTTAAAGCAGCCAGCGCCAGCGGATCATGTAAATCAATAGAGCAAATATTGGAGCACTAACCCGCGCCCTGGTGGGGGGGGGGGCTATTTTTTGCCCCCCCCCTCCAGACTTTTCGATATATCTCCAGAACCGCTGCGCCGATCGTCACCAAACTTTCAGTACCCTCCCGGACATCAATTTTACACATTGTGACCAAAAATTTATCCAAAGGCTATGATAGGTTGGCCGGAAATGACGTCAGAGTGACGTCATGTTCTGCCGTTTTCGACCCAAAAAAGGGTTTCGCGGGAAGAGCTGTCAGGCCTATAGCTTTGCAAATACAGAAAAACGATAAAGACATAAAAGCTGTAGAATCGACAGGGCTACAAAACTGCTATCTCGGATTTTTGAAATTTTTGGATTTTGACCCCCAAAAATCAAAAAATAGATTTTTTGATTATAATAGCCGAAAAATCCAAAAAGTTTTTTGAATTTCGAAAAAAACCGGAATATATGTGATAGTCCTTACCGCCTTCTATCTACATACCAAATTTGAGATCGATACCTCTTTTTTTGGCCACGTTACAGCGAAAAAACTGTTCAAAATTGATGACGTCAAATTTTCAAACTCATTTTTTTGCAATTCTAGACCTCGTAGCGCAAAACAAAGACCACCATTAGACTCCCCGTGACGAGCTGCATCGAATCAATACCCATTTTATGCAAAAATATCAACTTTGAAATTTGACCTTTTTTGACCTGACCTTGACCTGACCTCCACCAGAAAGTGGCCTAAGCCGTACCTGACAGTCTTATAACCAACACCATTGAGTTGGAAATGAAAAATTGGCCATAAAACATGCATCGCACAACCTTAGTACCTAAAGTTAGGTTCATATGTGACCTGACCTGTGACCCTTGGTGACCTGACCTGTGACCTGGTAATGTCAGTGACCTCTTATAGCAATATATGTACTAGGCAAATGACGCCCTATCGCTGATTCTCGACAAAATGCGTTTTCTTCGGTGTTATAGCGCATTCCCTAGATGACCCGTAAACGGTGAAACATTTCATCTTTGACCTGACCTGTGACGTCATCGGTGACCCCGAGGTCAATGAAATTTGGTTTCCCTCGACAAATTTGACAGGCCTTTCGAACGCCGTTTGAATTTTGCGGATCCGTCCAGTAGTTTCGGAGATACGAGGGGGGGGGGCAAAAAATAGCCCCCCCCCACCAGGTCGCGTTATAAACAGACCCCACCAGGGCGCGGGCTAATAAGCTGGAGCTATAATAAGGATATTTAGCCGGATCAGATTTAGTCAGAGAGGGCACCTGATTGATGGTTTATACGCCGGCCGAGCTGAGCAGGTGCAGCAGCTCTCTAAGAGCACTGCAGTTTTCTGGAAGGCGTAATTGAAACACAAATAGCCGTGTTACCAACAGCACGTTAGGAACACCGAGCCAAGTTGGAACCGAATCACCAAGGGTGGTTACCAGACTGGGCCTGCCATCGCCTCGCCTCTATGTCAGTCTCCAGCGCATCGAGAGCCCCATCTTCGAGTAGCTCCCAAACTCGCGGCAGCCAATCATCTCACCAATCACTTCTGAAAGTTTAACTCCTGGAGTAGCTTCTTAAACAGCTTCAGTGTGTCTACCATACAGACATATTTACTATTATAGAGACTGAAATAAAAGTTAAGTATAAAAAGAAAACAGAAGCTAGCGCACTGAGCCGGGTCCTTCTTTGAGCATTTCTCAGCATGGTTCTCGTGCGATGTGCGGTGCATGTAGTGCACAGTGCCCTCCCCCCCTACTCATGCTGTCCTGAGGGTATCTGCAGCAGCAGGTCGGTCCACCCCTCCCCTGCCCCCCTACTCTCGTTGTCCAGAGGGGAAGAGTCTGTGTCCCTGTCCTTTCCCCCGGTTCACTCACGCTGCCCGGAGGGTATCTGCAGCAGGTCGGTCCACCCCCTCCCTTGCCCCCTAGTTACTCTCATTGTCCAGAGGGGATGAGTCTGTTTCCCTGTCCTTTCCCCCGGTTCACTCACGCTGCCCGGAGGGTATCTGCAGCAGCAGATCGGTCCACCCCCAGTCCCCTGCCGCCCTACTCTCATTATCCAGAGGGGATGAGTCTGTGTCCCTGTCCCCCTCCATACTCACGCTGCCCGGAGGGTATCTGCAGCAGCAGATCAGTCCGCGGCGTGGTGCACATCAATGTATCCGGTCCCGTCTTTGTGGCGTTGGTGATGAGCGTCTTGCCCATCAGTGTGAAGGCGCAGAGGAAGCCGCCCGACTGCTGCACGTTCGGCAGGTTGTTGATGGTCAGCGTCAGCTGTAACAGGGCCAGGGAGATGGTCAGAGCCGGCGGACCGAGTGAAGCGGAGAGGTGAGAGCAGATGTTAGGTGCCGGGCGCTGAAACGTCTCGAGAAACGCGACGCGGAGTTAAACGAGGATAGCATTGTTCGTGAAACAGAAGACTATAGCACTCGGCTCATGAATTCGGTCAATACATTTTCGAAACACCACCCATCCCAACTTTGAGATTGGGCAAATGTAATTGTCAGTGGTAGGTAGGTGTGGTGATAGCCTACAAGACCCGGCGGAAGACGACTTTGGCCTCAACTTCCGGAGGCCCACGGTGACTCATTCCCAAACTCCTTCACATCAGCATACCAAGCAAGCACGCCACGCCTGTCGGCATCTGTTCAGTCCATCACGGAACCTTCTGCACTCTACAGCCCACATGGATCGTCACGTAACACCGCATTCCTGGCCCACACGGACCGTCACGTAACACCATACCACCAACATTCCTAGTTCAGATGGATCATACCGCCACACCACCCGCATCTCCATTCCACTTGAACCATCCCATACATACCACCACATTCTTAACACACCGCCCCCTACCACCAACACGTGTCGAGCCCACAGACCTCTCCCAGCCGTGTCTGGCCAGACGCCGATCCTTACGAGCCCCGCTGCAGGGGTGTGGGAAGGCACCAGCTGTGGCGCCCCGGTCAGCGCACAGCCGATTGGCCAACATAATTAGTCCGAGCTGTCATAATGCGGACGGCATAATCGGTAATTAGACACACTTCACGGGCCACCCCATAGACCACATCATTCGTCATTGGGAGGGATGAATGGGAGTGGATACAATTGTTAATATCGCACAGCTGTTCTATATGATAGGAGCTCTCGGCAGCGAAAGTGGCGAGCCGCTGCGAATGATAGATGTTGTGTAGTTAATGGGTGTGCCTGTATTTGTAACGTAAAGGGTCAGACAGCACAGGCCACGGCGGGCCTTCGCTGCTGCTGCCCCCACCAGACGCGGCGGTGGGTCTTCGCTGCTGCTGCCCCCGCCAGCCGCGGCGCGCAACAGATGTGGGCGAGTCGACCGACAAGTCAATAACGGGGCAGAACAGGCAGTCGGTCGGTCTGTCGGTCGGTCAGCCTGGGTAACTGGGGAAGAACCACTGCCCCAGGAGAGTCAGAAAAGAGGTGGAATAAGCAATATGTGTGGAGGCAGGGGAGCTACGGTAGGATAGGACTAGGAGAGGCTGTAGAATCATCGAAGGAGCGAATATGATGGAGAGTTGATCTTCCAAAGCCTAATCGGATTCCAGTCTGCTTCAAAAAAGTACTTTTTGCAAGCGCGTTAAAAGGTAGTCGCAGTGACAGCGATCAGTGATCTAGCTTATCAAGAACAAAATTCACGGACCGGAAGCCAGCAGCGGGGAGTAGTAGCAGCAGGCGCTATCAGCGGCATAGCATTAGCAGCCGCGGCTGGACACAGTCGTCGGATTGATGAGGGAGGCGGGCAGGCCGAGCAACCATGAATCCGCCCAGCTGGGCCCCGCGGCCGCCACCTCTCATTGTCGCCATGGCAACCGTAATCGGCAACAAACACCATGGCAAAAACAGCTAATCACCCCATCATCACGCCATTTTTGCACCAGCTTATTAACTAAGCGATGGGATTTAAACTGACCCTGACCAGCCATTGCCACCTGGACCTCACAGAGTTCATTCAGAGTGGCCGGGCCCGGCGGGTCGCCGCACCCACTACCCGACCTCTGCAGGTGCATATTCCACCGGCGACCGGTCGCACCTGGCACTCCCGGCCGTCGCCAGTGATTGATCATGTGGCATCGCGCGCCGAGAATGGGCCCGGCAGGATAATGGGCACTTGGTGCGATGACCGGCGAGGTGGCTAGTGTAGCAGCAGCCGGGGCCGGGGCCGGCGCCCGCGGCCGCCAACCTCCTCTGTTTGCTGCCGCGCAGCCGTGAGCACCCGCTCTTGATCGAGCACTTTTTGCAACGGCCTGCGCCCGAGAGTAGCGTTTTTCAGAGAAAATCCGCCGCCGAGGCGAGCTGTTTTCGGCGTCCGAGAGGCACTAATTAAAGAACATAGAGCCGGGTGCGCCCACTTGGGCGCGAGGGCACAACAGCGGCGAGAGAAGCCGCGAGAGCCGTGCCAAATTCGAAACCCGACGAGACAGTGATGTAAAACAGGGCTGGTAGCCCGGCGGCCTGGAATAGGAACGTCCGCTGGCGGTTGCAGTGGAAACTGCAGTATATTGAACGGCTAGGAGTTATGAAACACACTGAAAAAAATAAATGAAAATGCCTATAGTAAAAACCAACAATACTGCATTAGCTTCCAGGCAACCAGACCAGAACAGTCAACAACACTCGCAAAATAAGAATAAAACTATTTCCTACAACACTTCTCGTCGACAGGCAATCAACACTCGAGCCTCGCCGACCCCACATCCTCGGCTCTCATTTGCTCCCCACTACGACATAATATCGTGCTGCTGCGTGGCATAGTGATGAACCGCGCCACTGAACGGCTGGGCTGGGAGAACTGGGAGAACGACTCGCCCGTTGCCGTGGCGAATCAGAGGCGCTGGGTGGGGGACGTGGGTGACATCGGGCTCCCGTGCTGGCTATCAGAGACAGCTGCTGCCAAAACATGGCCCGAATCACCACTGCCGGCGGTGGCAACAGCGTGGGACGGCACGACGGTCATGGGGTCATGGCCGTCCCGAGAATAAGTCAAGAACAGCCGTTCGCATATTGAGGAAAGGAACAGACAAATGGAAAGGCGTGCAGTACCAATTTGGAATGTTTTGAGTCATGGTCATGATATCCTATTCGACAATCGAGACATGAACATCTCAATTCGAGATATGTGTGAGAGGGATGCGACATACAAATGATTCAGGATGCGGTAGGGTCGACGTTTCTTCATCCCTGATAAAATCTAACCCAAATGATGCACCTTTGAACGGCAGTTCGGATGCCTTTCAAAGCCGAGTTAGAGCCGCTGGTCACCGACCGTCCTGGCCGTGGTGGCCTGTAATTACCCATACTGACCGTCCTAGCGGTGGTGGCACAGACTCCCCATACTGACCGTCCTGGCCGTGGTGGCCTGCAGCTGGTGTGGCGACACCGACTCGATGGTCGTACACCGGTCCGACTTGTAGTTGATCCAGTAGAGCACGTCCTTGGCCGCGTCCTGGCAGTCGCTGCGGATGCTGCATCTGAAACGGTAAGAACGGGGAGCGTCAGTTGTGAATGCTAACAATATAGGATGAAAACAGGCTGACAGAAATTCTCTTCGATCGAATCTATCCTGCTAGTAAGCAACATGAGGAGATGTTTAGTATGGTGCGACTAGTAAAAACGAACATGACATAGATTCGCCACATGCTATATGTTACATAAAACAGCACACTCATCAGTCCACGCACGGCACTCTGGCCTACAGCACAAGCCAGTCGACGCAGTAAGGCCGAATATGTTTTCCCACAGCACACGCCGGCCGGCCCGCTGAGCCACGGGTGCCACCCAGCCCCCACGTGCCACGTGGTGCCACCCAGGGCGCCGACAGCTCCGAGAGACGCCGACAGTGCTGTCGGCGACAGGCCGTCACACCCAAACACACAAACAGCTGGGCCGGAACGAGAGACGCGCCGGCCGAGACGTCCACACACAACAGAACTGTCGGGGGGTGGGTGGGAGGAGCCGGAAGAAGAAGAAGAAGAGAGGGAGAGGGAGAGGGAGAGGGAGAGGGAGAGGGAGAGGAAGAGGGGGAGGGAGAGGGAGAGGGAGAGGGAGAGGGAGAGGGAGAGGGAGAGGGAGAGGGAGAGGGAGAGGGAGAGGGAGAGGGAGAGGGAGAGGGAGAGGGAGAGGGAGAGGGAGAGGGAGAGGGAGAGAGAGAGAGAGAGAGAGAGAGAGAGAGAGAGAGAGAGAGAGAGAGAGAGAGAGAGAGAGAGAGAGAGAGAGAGAGAGAGAGAGAGAGAGAAAGGGAGAAAGGAGGGAGGGAGGGAGAAGTGTAAGAGTTCAGAAAAGAGGTGGGGATATAGGTAAGCGCAAATCGTGAAATGTTCTTCCGAAGTAAGCATATGTTCGAGAAGTTGACAACGGCAATAAATAAAAGGTTTAATACAGCATTAACACTGATAAAGATAGTGGCCAAATAGCACAGTCTTTTCATTTAGAGCACCAGTACATTCCCCCAACCTTGTCACTGGGTCAAAACCAAGCAGGAATAGGGCAAGGAGCCACACCATTAAAAGCATACACGAGCGGTCGTCCCTAGCTGTATAACCTCACGTGCACGTCCCTCAGTACGGCCAATACAAGCATCTCCAGCGAACCCTAACGACAGGTTATGAAACAGCAGCAATCAAGCAGCCGCCTATAAATCGAGGCCGTAAAATCTACACACTAATTCGTGACAGATTATCGATACTGCTAACGGCCCGCCGGACGCCACTAAATCAAACAGCGTCATCGAGATATCGGTTAAAATATCAACCGGACTGTATATACCGGGAGCTGGAGTTTGCTAGTTTTGCCATTACCCGCCCCAGGCGTTCCGGGCCACTAGTCCTGCGCGCCCGCCGACCTCTCCGCGGCTCGTCTGGTTTATCGAGGGCTCGTCCCCGAACCAGGCCGGTAGTTAATCCGACTCGACCTCCCGGCCGAACTTGGTCCATCGGCAGTGGCTGAAACTAACAGCCCGTGGCGGCGGAGGGTCCCCGGCCGGCGGCCCCGGCGTCTTCTGGTGACCTCAGGCGGCCCTGTCGTCTTCGGCCGACCCCGGGCGGTACATCCGTCCCAGACAGACGGACTCGGGACCACGTCAGCCGCCGGTCATCACTCCCGACCGCAGTCGTAAAAAGGCGACACCGACTGCCGAGACCGCGGCTCCACAGCTGCCCCATCAACGCGATCACGGCCTGTCTATCAACCAGGCTGGGGCACAGTGGCATTCAGGAGACATCATACTGACATAAACATCAACATCGTCAAGACATCAGCAGGCCACAGTATGTAGTCACCAGACCTACAGTCAACTGCATCCACGTGCGACAGAGATCAGCACACATACGCTGTAGCCGAGTAGCAGCACCGCGGCAGTGCGGGGCGATCAATGCCCCATCGGAGACGGAGGGAGGCACATGGAAGTCAGCTTCCTCCTCCCCATTTGTCCTCATAGGTGAGTCGCGCGGCCTTCCCCAGGGGAGCTCGGGGAATGGTGCTGCATTAGGCGCCGCTCACCGCGCCGAGACCCCGCGCGGGAGAGCGGGCAAAGGGGTGGGAGGCCAAGGGACGACCGACCGCGGCACGCGGCGCCACTCATCACACGGAGCAGAGGATGGTGGGCTATATTGACAGTCAGCTAAATTATGAAGGCGAGTTGACGGGCGAATGAATGGAGAAATTAATGAGCGAGCCAGCCAATGCGTGAATGAATTTGTTAATGAATAGTCAAGTGCATTGAGCTTGAAGCACCAATACAGACCAGACCAGATCATTAGCAGTTGCATCCTCATAGCTGAAAAGGGTTCGACGATCGCGAGGACGTACGAGGGCACAGTTTTCAGTTTCAGTCACGACCACTGAGGAGCGGGGCGGGGAGGGGGCGGGGACCTGTCCAAGGGCGGCGATGCATCAAACATTTACATGTTATTGGATGTTTTGTGCCGTCCTCGTGTCCAACGGACGGCCCCGGGCGGCGCGTGTCGCCGGAGACAGGTCGGTATGAGGGCCGAACCAGCGGCCGGACGGCCAAATGAGAAACCGGAAGGCGAAATTCTGGGCTCCAACGACCCCGAGCCAACGTCGATATCGTGGCCAAAGCGCAGCGCCTTAAATACAGCAGCGATGCTATCCCTAACAGCCATCGGTCTGTCCCGACCAAACGACAATAACAAACGACTCGGCAAGACGTACGGCCCTAATAATGACTATTACTCCCATAACTCCATCGGCTCGACAGGATCGCAATTCGACTCTATGAGTCACAGTTGATTGCATCGGCGTGCCATCGATTCCGGTCCGGCCGGCTGGGGACTGGGCACGTACGCACGGTTATTTACTGTGGACGTAACGGGACATCGGACTGCAATGAACCGCCACTGCGGCTCGTGCGGACCGCGTCCTTCCGCGTCTGTGCCCCCCGGAGACCCATTTCGCTGTCCATGGCCCGCCCATTGACCCAGTGAGGCGGCTGTGCTGGTGTCGACCGCACGCCGACGGTAGCCGCCACTGACCGGTGCGCACGGCGCGGCGGCACGTCGCTCTCGACGCGGCCCTGCCGGCGCCGCCGCTATCGACGACCTGCGACTGGCGCCGCCAGGTCGGAGGGGGTACAGGGGTCAGGGCGCGGCCGGCCCCGCCTGTCCGACACGGGGCTCGAGTGCCGACATGACAGCTACGACGGCCGACGGAAGACGTCTGCACGAGGAGACAGCATGCAAGGCGGCCACCGGGTCCGCAGCTTGTAGTTATGGTATTGAACGGAAAGACAACACCGCCGGTGGACAGCTACATTTTTGTCAACATGCAGACAACTGAAGACAAAACGGCCTCACTCAAAAAGAACCTGTAAATAAGACAAAGTAGATAGTAGGATGAAATTGCTTCGTGACATTAAAAGCAGCGTTTAAGGTACGTTTCAGATGAAGACAGATGAGCTGCTGGGAGCAGATGTGCCAATAATTCAATAATTCATCAGTTCCAGGCGGCGACTTAATTCGATAAACGAGTGCGGCCGTCGGATTTCGGAGTGATTTCAGGGACGGCGTCTCGGCGTCTGGGTGAGGTGTAATATCCGGTGTCTGTCGCTCTGGGCGTCGGTCGGCGGCCGTCTGTCTCCGACTGCTGTCCGAGGCGCGGGCACCGTCAGTCACCACCCTAGGAGCTACCGGCACCGCGCTGCTGCCACCGCCGCCAGCGCCGGTAGGTACTCTTGTCTCATGTGATGAGGGCGCCGGCGCACTGCCCTCACCAGCGCGGTCCCCTTTCACTCGAAACCAATGCCGCCTGTATCGTCACCATTTGCTCACCAGAACACCATCCACCCCCGCATTCGGCTCTAAAGTCTTCATCGCAGGGCCTTGCGTTCAAAGCACACTCAGAATCACATCAAGTGGTCATCAAGTCCACATCACACCTAATGGTCACCCCATACGACCTTCACGCTCAATCTTACAAAGCTCTCAGACTCACCCACACACACATCCCAGTCCACCCCCACACGGCCCCAGATCCACCCCCACACAGCTCCCAAAACTCACCCCCACACAACCCCCAGCCAACCCCACATAACTCTAAATCCACCCCACACTCCCCCGGGTCCGCCCACTCACCACCCCCGGTCACGTCCGTCCAAACTGCGTCGTTTCCTGCCGCTCAGTTGTCAGCTCCTGAGCGTCTGTGATGAATCGACAGCAGACACGACCGTCTGACCTGAAATCGGCGCCGCGGAGGGCTGCAGCCCGGCCGCATAGCTCCCAGCTGTCTGCGCGGTGCACCGCGCGCTGACGGCCCGCAAATGGCTCCAATTATTAGCGCATGTCACACTGATCAGACCGACAATTGGCCCATCTCAGCCTGGATTCATCGCCGTAAGCGCTGCAGAAGTTCAAAGATCGCCCGCCGTCGAGCTGATTGTGGCCTCCCAAATAGACTGGCTTTATTCACCAGCAGTCTGCAGCGCATTTCAGTCTCGCTCTCTTTTCTCGCAGTGCAGATGAGCCTTGCACGCGGCGGTGGATTCAATTCCACGGGAGTTGAGCACCGCTCCCGGGCAAACCGCCGACAAACTTCCAAACAGTCCTCGCCGAGTTGGGCCGACACACGAGTTAGTGTTTCAGTTAGAGAGGCATACACATGCAGGCAGACAGGCACACAGACACACAGCGGACAGACAGACAGACAGACACACAGCGGACAGACAGACAGACAGACAGACAGACACACAGCGGACGGACAGACAGACAGACTGGCTGCTGGGAAATGGCGCAGAAATCAGTCACCACGCCAACTGTCCTGATCTAGCAGCGATATTACAGTCCAGACGAATACAATATTAGATGGTTTGATACACATCTGTGACCTGGGATATATGGCGGAGTTTGTTGAAAATCTCGCATGGAAATATAACAGTCTGCATAAAGGAAACTTTTACCCGGAATCGGGTTTACAGAAACGTTAAAAGCGAACGGAAGCATCCATATTCCGAAACATCGCATAAGCAATATTGCCAGATACATAAAAGTCTACATCACTATCTCGCGTCTTTTCTTTCAGTCGCCAGTAAATGTTTCCGTTAACATATAATTGGAGGTTCAAGACCAAACACTCGCAAAATTTTGTAAAGCAAAATAAAATAGTGGACCGGTTCACCCACTGGTAAGCAGAGTGAATAATATGGTGGTAAGCAATATGATCTGACAATACAGAAAAGTACTTACTTATTCTCGAGCGAGCACCATCCGCAGTAGGGGTCTCGCGCCCCCAGACACTCTGAACACGTGGTGTACTGGTGACACTCCTGGACCTTGACCTTGGAGACCTGGCGGCACACAGACAGACAAACATCGGTCAGCTATTCAGTCAGACGGTGACAGACAGACGACCAAAGCAGGCCAGTTATTGGGTCAGCCGTGAAAAACAGACACACAACGCGGGGAGCTATTCAGTCAGCAGCAGAAAAAAACAGCCCATGACCTCAATGAGTTGACCGAAAATGGCGACAGCAAACATACAGGGTAGACAAAATAATCCGCAAGTTAGCAGTATCGCCTAACCAATGGATAAAGCCAAACTGCACAGCTAGCCGATCACCCCCCCCCCCCCAAACACACACACACACACAAAGGAGCGACACTAAGGTCGATTCCCACCACATCACAAAGACGCGTCGTTGAGCGCCCAGTCCATTGAAGTTCCACCACTATGCACCGTTCCATCGCATACAGCGTCCCACCACTGTGACATCGATCATAGTTCCGGGTCCGCGACCCGGCAGCGCACGCACAGCGGCGAGCCTGACACACGCATATCTCAGCCTGGGGTCCGCGGCGGCCCTGAACGATGTCGCCCATCACGGCCATGGCGGATAGTGGATGGCCGCCGTCCGCTGTCGGGCGGGGAACACTCGGTCGTACCGCGGCACCTGCGACAGTCCACCGGTGACAGTTCACCGGGGACCGTCCGTCGTCGACTGTGTAGCGTCCACTGTCCGCCTTCCACTGTCCACATTCCACAGTCCACCGCCTACCGTCGACCGTTCACTGTCCGCTGTCCAGCGTCCACCGGCTTCGTCCACCAGTGATCCTCCATAGGGAGCGTCATACATCAGCTTCCGCGCCCGCCGCGTCACCCTTCGCTTTTTGTGTGGTTGATAGCATTGGACGAGGACGAAGGTTCATCCCCAACTCTACAGTCGGTAACCAAGCTCTTCCGTAAATGGAGAGCCAGGACATAACAGGCGAGTGATGCATCTAGGTGATGTCCGTTTGGATCGGTTCCGTCAATGCATTGGCATCCATTCTGGCATCCGTCATTCCACGGCACATCTCTATAGGCTCCGAAACCGCGGAGTAATTGAAGGAGAAAGATGAGGATCGTCCTGATGGAAGGCACGTCAGGGAAGGCGCTGAAAGGCGGTAGAAGAGACCCATCGGGTTGTGGAGAGAGATATGTGAGGATGGAACCGCCCAGCTGAATGAGGAGAAATGAAAAACGGAAATCCATCAGAGCACTGATGTGGTGGAAGAATTTCTACTCAACTCTGCGAGAACCAGTTAGACATTTTTGGACGTATGGAATGACACCAATTGAAGCGAAACGCTAGCCAAGCTTGTCGGAATCCCCCCCTCCCAACCGCAGGATTCTCCAGGGTTCCGCATGCGGCAGGACAAGGAAGCTGTCCTCTCCAGCCGTCGCGTTCCACAGGATAGGAAGGAACTGCGACCAGCAGGATAGGCAGCTGCCGCAGCTCGCAGGTTAAGGAAGCTGCCACGGCCCAGGGTAAGGCAACTGCCGCGGCACGCAGCGCAACGAGTTTCAGCAGTCTCCCAGAGCCACCACGAAGGATAATGGGCTACTGCGGTCCTCAGGATAAGAAGCTGTCGCAGTCTCATAGGTGAGCGAGCCCCGCGATGACGGGCGGCTCGAGTCCCGGGCCCATCCATCGCGACACTCTACG